ACACACACACACGCGCATACATGCATTTGAACCTGGCCACATTCCTTCCTCAGTCCCTAGTGTGAACTCTTAATCTAACCCAAACCTAATCTCAATTCTAATCTCAACCTTTATCCCAAATTCTAACTGTGAACCTGACTCCTTTTAAGAAGCCGGGGACCAGCACTATTTACTCTGTCTGTATAAAATAACACACAGTTTTACAACTCTGAGTAAACGATTACCCAATCTCAGCCTGATAAGGGGTTGTCACAGGGCAGGCCTGAATCTCCACTCTTGTATAATGGGTGTGTGTCTCTCTCTCTCTCTCTCTCTCCCCCCCTCCATCTCTACCTTCAATTATCCTGTTTCTGTCTCTGCCCATCTGTCTTCGTTCTTCTGTTTTTTGTTTTGACTATCCAGGAAAGAGCAGTTTCACTCACTCTTGGCAACGATTGAGTGCGGTAAAATACTAATAGTCTTTATTTGTGCATGAAACGCTCACAATTTTACAGAGAGCAGTTATTATGTAAGAACGGCTGTGTTCACATCAGAGCTGAAGGTGTGCCAGTAAAGTGAAAACATGGGAGGACTTGCAAAACAAGAATCTACCAGATAATTGAACATTGTCAAATCCCATCTAAACTATTACTTAAAAGCTGTTTATGAATACATTTAAAGCAGGATATAGGCCGTGCAGTTGTGGCATCATGCTTTGTTTTAATTAACTGTTAAAAGTTCACGAGTTTGGAGAGGACTTTTAAGCTCATTTAAAGTCAGATCTGAACACTTAAAGTGGACATTTTTGGTGCTTTGTTGAGGAATGTCATATTTTTGGCTGCCCAAGACATTGTTTAGGGTTGGGTTAACAATTAAAATATCAAGACATGTGTGTTAGACACAAACAGAGATAGAGACGTGTAAAAATGTGTGTGGTATATTTTTGGTGTCCCTGTTTTGTCTTTTCGACATCAGCATTGGGTCACATTGACATGAGAAAAGAAATGAAGCATCATTTGAATTAAGCATCAGTTAAGACATGAATAGATGTCGTAAAATATCCGAAGAGATGATGAATTTTGACCTTAAATGTGTTTCTTAAGGAAGGAAGATGGATAGGATCTTGTGTCATGTAATGGCCATGAAGGGTTTCTTCTGTCCTTTTCAAACAAGTTAGCAGCAGTAATTCTTGAAATCAGCTCTTTACAGAATACCTACCAACTAACATCCCAGTCGGCTCTCAAAAGCATCCTCTGCCACTGTCATTTGTCTACAGTCTGCAGCCTGTGTGTGT